GTAAGAATGGCACAAGCAAGTCAACCACCTTTAATTTAATTTAATTAAGGCCATTGCCTTAATTATGGGTATTAATGCACAAACCGTGTGGCACAAGCTCAAGGTTAAGTGCCTTCTTGTATAGCAAGGCTAAATTTCATCTTAATTTTTTTTATATTAATGTCTTGCATTCTGCAATCTGGTGCCTCATACTAAATCTAGTCCTAAACAAGAAAAGCTGGGCTTTTAAAATCAGATCTGATTAACTGGAAACAACCAACAACCAGCTCTAGACACCAGTTGACTCCAATGTGAGCACAAGCTCCAAGTGTGGCTCCGATGATCTGAGGGGATTTAGGAGAGAAACAGCCACGTACCACCGAGACTACTGGGAAGTACCAAATCCCAGGTACAACAAATCCCCTGTTTTGGCCACAAACAGCTGCCAAAACAACCAAGGGATTGGAGAAACGATCAAATGGGAAGGGATGAGAGGTGTGTGCCTTGTTTGCTCCCACGGAGTGAGAGCTGGAGAGGGATGTGATTGCTGGCTGTGGAGGTATCAGTGACAACACATCCAGGCAGAGAAGCTGAACAACCATCAGAACGAGGACATGTGGATGAAAAACAACTCTGAGGTTGGAAATCAGGAGGTGATTGCTACCACAGGATGATGTCCCAGTCAGAGCAAAGGGGAAAAAGTCAAATATGGTCTGATGGAGCTTAAAAACTGTCAAGGATTATGCAAAGCTCGGCTTGGTGGCACTGGCCGGGGCTTCCCCACAGGCACAGCCCTTCCACCACCACTTTGGGACTAGAAGTTTTGCTCTTAAGCATAACCTTTTAGCCTTGGTGATGCACAGAATGTGCAAGGTCACCTCCTGGCACGGGGAACCGGAGCTGTGGAGCAGCTGGGAAAAGAAAATCAGTGAGACCGAAGGGAGAAATAAATTTCCAAATGCCTTTGGAAGCCTTTGTGGAACAGCAATCCAATTTCCATGGAACACTGAAGGCCTGACCCAGACGTGTGAGCAGGTAACTCTGGCAAGAGTCCTCAGCAGGGTGGGTGGGAGCAGGAATAAATTTAGCTGGGTTTGCTTTGGAGATCAGACTGTGCTCATAACACTGTGCTTAGAGGATGCTCTAGAAAAGATTCCAAACACCCCCGTGTTTCTGAATTCCCTGAAACACTGAATAGAAGCAATTGTCTGAAGGAAGAGTTCTCTCAGATTTCAAACACAAAGAGATAATGTGCAACTTGAGTTAAAAGCAGCTATTTCGAGACAAGACAACTTTGGTTTCATGGTTATTTACCTGATACAGCGGGTCCTGATGACTTTCTGCAGCAGAGGGTTTAAAAGAAACCTTGCTTTGTAACTTTTATTTTTCTGAGAAATGTAAACTTTGAGCTGTTTTACTTATTCTTTGGTTCCAGAAACGAGCAGGAGAGAACATGAACTTCTGACCAGGAGTTGTGCCTTTACCCGGGCTTGGTTTTATTGGAGAATGAAGCTGAAATAAACTTCTTTGAGAGTTAAGATTTAGAAGTTAGGAGGCCCCTAACTCATGCATATTTTCGAGGAGAAATCTCATTCCTTCTTTTAAGAATCATTACAAAAGCCCACAAACAACACCATGGGCCTGATAGTAAAGGCCAGATAATCAGTGACAGCTCTGTAACACAGGTTATTAATCCTGCTTGGGGAACATCCTGAGATTGGCTGGATGTGCCCCAACAGCTGGATTCAGGGATGAGACATAGGGATAAATCTGCCTTCCCTGTAAGTGGGAACAGGAGGGCTGAAGGATGGGAATGGTCCCTCCTTGGCCTGGCCCAGCTCATGCTGAGAAGTCTCCTGGCTCTGACCAGCCTGTGGAACATTTGCTCTTCTGAAAGCATTTGACACATCTGAGATGTTCATCTCCTACTTTTCAGATCAAAATCAGGAAGCCATTACCCTTTGCTTTCATTTAGTAAGTAACTGCACTCACTTTGCTGCAGGTCCAACGATCCTCCTGATACACTTCATTCCCTCTTGATCCATTATTTTATTGGATACTTAAGTCACCCTTATCAGGCAGTTAATAAGAGGATCGTTGTCGATAATTAATGGCAACATCTTCCTCTGAAAACTAATTAATAGAAATGCAGCATCCATGTCCTTTGGAATGTGGCTCTGTGGGAATATCTTGCTAATGAAGCCTTGGACACTTCCAGGGATCCAGGGGCAGCCACAGCTTCTCTGGGCAACCTGTGCCAGGGCCTGCCCACCCTCCCATCCAGGAATTCCTTCCCAGTATCCCATCTAATCCTACCATCTTTTAGTTTAAAGCCATTCCCTCCTGTCCTACCATTCCATGATTCCGTGGAGGACGAGCGTGCAGGCGCAGCAGAGGGAGCTCAGTTCGGGGGACAGACGCGATAACATCTTGTCGTACACACGCCGTAATTAATTTTAATTTACTTAATTAACAATTCAGTCTTTGGGGAAGGAAGATGAAAAAGTTCCTTCATAAAGTGACAATGGGTGATTGTTCTCGGCTTCTTATCCTGGAGGCACTGGGGATAATGAGAGCTGGGGAAATACTTGGATAGATTGATTATAGGGAGGGGATGGGAGTCCTCCGGCACAGGCTTCTGTAACGGGCACCTCCTCCCCCTTCCCATCTTCCCAAGGAATTCAACTTGGGGTCAACACACGGAAAAGTAAAAGTTCTCCTCAAAATCCCATTTCCATTTGAAGACTCATGGTGTGAGAAGTCGGGTACGGATTTAACCTCTGCCAGAAATAATCATCCCTTCGCCAAACTCTCAGTCAACAGACAACAGAAGCTGGGGAAATGATGCTATTAAGATCTGAAGGTGGAAATTCCCAATCCTTTTCCCTGGCACACATAAAAATAAAACGATATAAAAGAACTCCGGCAGATGCAGCGTCATATGGAGTCGCTTAATGGCAACGCTCAGCCTTCCAAAAGGAGATTTACATCCACAGTCGCTCCTAAAACTTGACATTTGCGTGGAATAATTCAGAATTTGCTGCTTGCTGGGCTTTGTTGCCTTTCTTACACCCCTCAGTGGTGTTAGTTCTGCTCTTAGCAAAGCCCATCCCTTCTAACAGATGCAGATAGTTTGTTGTTACTCCGCAAAGCTCGGTTCTGTGTTTCGCTAAACCCAGCTTAAAACTGCCCCCTCGAGGACTCTTTGCCTGTCACAGATTTAATTTGCACCATTACTGGGCTCCAGCCTAATTCCCCCACAACTATTCCAAGTATTTTAACAAGGATCACATGTTGGACATGCGTTTCCATGCCTACGTGTGTCCCACTTCAGGACAAACTCATTCCACTTCACTCCTTGTACGGATGCAAACGAGGTGCTGGCAGGACATTCCTGTCCTGCAGATAAAAGGTGTTGGAAGCTACATCTGGATCCAGCAGCTGCCCAAAAACTGGTCCCAGTGGGTGCTAAAGCAGGACTTTATAAGCAGTTTTATAAAAGTTATTGTCCTATTTTAATTTTATTTATTTTAGGGTTGCAAATACCAAACCTGTACTTCCATAAATGTCCTAAGTTTGTTCTCATTTTTGAAAAGTATTTAAAAAAAATTGTTGTACTTATTTAGTTGATTTCTAACACTTTATTCTTAATTTTTTTTTTCATTCTGTCATAACCAAGTTGTTCATGACAAAGGTTTAGGCAGTACCAGGTTTTTCCTGGCACTTAACTGTGACACCTTGGGAAGGAGCTGGTGCCTTTGTGGGCCTGTGGGCTCTGCTCCACCTCCCACTTTCCTCTGAGAAAAATCTCAGAGAGGTTTCTTTATTAAATCCCAGACTGGTTTGGGTTGGAAGGGACTTTAAAACTCATCCCATTCCTATTCCCCTGCCATAGGCAGGGACACCTTCCACTAGCCCAGGTTGCTCCAAGCCCCGTCCAACCTGGCCTTGGACACTTCCAGGGATCCAGGGGCAGCCACAGCTTCTCCGGGCACCCTGTGCCAGGGCCTCCCCACCCACCCAGCCAGG